TTTAGATTTGAACACAGTGTTATCTTCAAATGATTGCTTTCCAGGTGTTGATTCATCAGAGCGAGTTCGCTTCACACCAGCTACAGTTGGTCGCCTGGGTGTCCTCTCATTTCGTGCGCGCCAGTCTACTTTTGCATCAGCTTCCAGTTGCTCTACAAGTGTTAGTTTCGAATCTGCTAATGTCGTCGTTTCTTGTCCATTTGTTGAATTCAATATGGGTTGCGCAAGTTGTATTGTGTCCAATGAAGGTCCTATCTTCTTCGGTTCGTCAAAATCGAGCAATGGCAGTAATTCTGGTGCCTTATCAGATTGGCTCGAAGGTATTTCTGCTTCTGGAGCAACTGACTTTAGCCTATCATCTATGCCCCAGAAGGCGCGTAAGGAGTCCAAACACAGTGTGTCTTTCGGCAGCTCCTAGATATAAATGCGTAGAAAAATATATTTAATTTAATTTATATACTTAACTAACAAATTATGCGCTATAATCTTCGCGTACCAAACTAAACTTATCGAGTGTTTGTTTGACTATTGGAAAATCGAAAGGGTCCCCATTATGTGCAACCAGGCATACAGGTTGTGGCATGTGTTTGATAAAATTTAAGATTGTGTTAGCTGCGTTTTCATCGAAGTGTGACTCATTTTCCAGATTATAATTACTCAGTCCTAAAAATACAATTCGCAAGACGATGTTATTGAATATGTAAATGCTTTAAAACAATACATTTTATGATAAACCTGTAATTATTTCAGCCGACGGATGAATGAGTCGTCTGGGATTGAAGAGCAAAGTTAACTTATGCAAAATTCGCGGCCGCTTCGGTACTGGTGATTTATTACCGTTTCTATTTTCCCTTGGTGCTTCCATTTCTAATTCGTTTGCTGAGAATCCATACATGCATAGTTCCGTAATTGCAATCTTGGAGAATATGTGGGGCAAATCATTGCTTTCCAAGTCAAGCACCACAAAGGAGCCAATATGGCGAAGGCTAGAAACTGGCTGTGCGCAATCCTTGCGAACGGATGCCATGATCAATTCTAATTTAGGTTTACAACAGCAACCGTATCAAAAATCGTTTAATTGTAGCAACGAAAATAATTTGTGAAATTAAAGTACATGCAAATAGGAAATTCGGGATGTCAAAAGTATACGTTACAAGTGAAGGACCGATAAGAGAAAATAATCGATGAATTTCTTCCCTTTTAATAGTGGCGATCCCGTACGAGTCCGGACCAGTCAGAAATAGTCAGAATCAGTCAGATTTTTCTGGAAATCGATCCCGTACTCGGTTCTCCGACTATTGAGAGGACAAAAAAGAGAGTAAATTCGGTTCTCTCTCTGTCAGAAGTTACCAGTTTTAGTCCAAGAATTTTTTGGCGACCAAATTGTAAAAAAAGAAAAGTGCACTCTGCTAATTCATGTTGAAAAGTATTTAATTACTTGTTTAAGTGGATTCTAATGAATTTGAGAGTATTTTTGGTTATTTACATGTGTGATCTGAGTGTGTTTACATACAAAATAAGCAAAAATTTACAAGCAAAATTTGGAGGTTATGTTGAAGTTGACAGAAGTTACCATTTTTTACTAGAAAGCGAT